TTTCTAATTCGTAGTATTGTTTTTCATTTTCCAGCAATAAATTTCAGAAATTATATTTTCATTAAAAAATATTATATATATAATCGATGCATTTTTGTAATTCTTGCAGACTAACTTTCGCTAAAAGAATTAAAAGTTGCAATCTTACATAAATATCTTACATAAAAATATCTTACATAAATATCTTACATAAAAATATCTTATATAAAAAATAATGGCACGAATAAAATTACAGTTTTTTTTAAATATAATAAATCTGCAGTTTATAATAAGATTTAAGAAAAGTTAGAAATTTTAAAATAATGACGTTAGAATTTAAAAAATTAAAGATATTTTCTGTACTAAAATAATTGGTTTAATATGATATATAAAGATTTGATATATTAATATATATATATATATATATTAGACTCACCCACTTTTTGTCTGCAAATCGATATTATAAGCGATTTCGCATCAGTTTTAAATGATTTGAAATTCCTCTTTCTGCTATTATTTATTATCAAAGAGAATCTATACTATGTAATAGAATCATTATCAAAAAATCCACACATTTAAGGTTCACTAACGATGCTTGAATGAAAACGTGGTAGAATATGGGAGAAATCGAGATCTTGTATATTATTACAAATGTATATACATGTACTTATTTATTATGAAACAAAATAGTTTTCAACAAGCAGAGAAAAGGTGATATCGACATAGGTAATTATCTACTTGTCTTTAACCGAATATGTGCAAGAGACAAATAGTATTATGCAGACATATAATTATACGACAAGAGAGGATGTAGAACATTGAACGTTATTACAAATGCCATAATGTAGATTTATTAATGATTATAGAGACATATAACGATGCACGACACACCTCCGAAAATCAACTAGTAATTTTCTCCCCTATAAAATTATTATAATTCTTGGAATCTTTCGTTCCTATCCTTTATAATTTAAGACATTAATTATTGCATGCGTGTGTATGATGTATATATGAGTTTAGATGTGTATGTTTGAAGTGTATCATTATTATGTCTGAATATTAAAATAATTTATTAATTTTACACATGTATTAGATTAACTATACATAATAATTTGATGCTGCACTACTACATATACGCATAACACATAAATTATATGTATAATCGAAATTTAGAGTATTTCATGTCGCAGCGAAATAAAATACTTTTAGGAAATTAGTAATTAAGTATAATTGCTTTGCTTCGTAGTACGAAAATACAAATAAGCCTTAAAAAGGCTTACAGAAATACAAATGTAATATTGAGAGAAAAAAAGTAAAGATATTAATTCATTTGAATTATATGTATATACTTGTTAATGTGTGTCACTTATAAGAATTTTACAATAGATGCTGTACAAAAGTATATTTCACTTCGTGGGAACATGACAATATGTTGGAATTTATCGAGAGGGATAACATATATATTCTTCAGTTGTACTAATTAAATGACATCAGTATAATTATAGTTCTGATACTAACAGCGCAGTAAGGTATCGATAAGATGTCACAACGAAATCATTAATTTTAATTTGTGTAGAGACAAGCAAAACAACCACAAACATTTATTCGTAGTGCCTTACAAACCTTTGTCGTGCGTGCATATTGCTATATAACAATATAATAGTTATTTTTACTGATACGTATATAAGTCATACAAGTTATTGTATACTTGATTCTTATTATAAATATTATTCTGATTATTCATAAGTGTCCATACAAATTAGTAAGCATATTTCATAAAGATATACGCGAGAAGTAGACAAAATATATAGTCTTTTACAACATGTATAATAAATAGAACCGATTATTTTCAAAAGAGAGGCAATATATGTTTCCATAAAAGATATATTAAAATATCATGTACACACAGAGACATAAACGCCTTAATATGCCTTAAAAAATCCGCACAAATTTTATGGGTTCCGATCAAATTATTTTAAATTTTAATATTTTGTAAACCATTGATATGACATATAAGTGTAGTAAAAAAGATTTATTTCGATTTTTTTGTACTTTTTCATACAAAATATAAAGATTTCGAAGTTCATAGTCTGTTCTTATTTCAAGATCGTCTTAAGTAATGTCTTAAGATGCTATTAGGGCTCTTTGATTGATCCGACATTTTAAGACTGTATTTAAAACGATCTTAAATGTAGAAATCGACTATGAATACCGCCGTTAGAGCAAAGACTAAGACATTTGAAAGTTTGTGCTCGTAAGGACTTTTCAGCTTAACGTGAGCTACAAAATATAAAAATTTGAAATAATTTGAAACCCATTTCTCACAAGATTTGTGCTCTTTTCAATCCTTCTCATATACCTTTTTCGATATATCGATTTCGTGCAATCTCGGATGTTAAGGCATTTGTGTTCGCGTGCTTATAATTGTTGCTACGTAGTGTTAGTAATATTCGGCGCGACATTCATTTATAATGAAATTATTTTTTTAATGAATAAAAAACTCTGTCATTTTTGATTGTAGCAGAAATGCAGATACTCTCTTTCAATTTCTTCTTATATACCATAACTGGTTTGTGGCGACCAATTGAATGGTCTTCAAAATGCTCTAAGTTGCTATATAATGTGTACACTTTCTTCACGCTGTATCTATTTACGTATTTTTTTCTGACACACTTCCTGTATGTCATCTTTGTTGTCGACAACCTGGAAAACTTGGCCTCGTGTTGTTCTATTTTCCTAGGAACAATTACCCTATTCTGCAAAGCGATTATTATTGTAATTCGTCGCGATCGGATTATCAATTTGATAAAAATATTGCAAGAAGAACCTTGCAAAGCTTGTAACGAGGAGGAGATTAATATCCACATCAAATTCGATCATTTAATCAGGTTGGTATATTTAAATACTGACGCGACTTTCGATAATATCAGTCATAATAAATAAATCGATAAGTAAATCAATAATTTATATTTATATATAAAACGAGAATAAATAAATTGAACTATATAACAAAAATTAAATTAGATTAATTTTGTTTTAAAGTTTTCCAAATAATTCTTAAGAAAAATTATTGCGTTCTAAAATCACAAATTTATTTGTTTTGCACGTGTTTTTCATCATTATAGCATCAACGATTTCCCAAAGTATTATACAATAGCGATCGGATAGCGATATTTTTCACTATATTTAAAAAATTAAATGTTTATTAATTTATATAATTTTAAGATAGCTTCTGCCTGTTTTTTTATTGTTTGCAGATTATATATACATGTATATATATTTATTATGTATTTTTGAAATGTCCATGCAGATTACATTCCATGCCTTATATAATCTTATGTACGATCTCGCTGATAGGCACTATAATTGGAGGAATACTTTATATGTTAGAGGGCGCAATACCTTATGGGTTCGTGTGGGTACCTTGGGAATGTACTTCGTTCCTTTTATTCTGTTTTACGTCTCTTCAAGAGATCGCAGCTGTGACTATTGGCATTATTGTAAACATTGCAACAGAAACTACGGTTTTAGGATTTTGCTTGCATATATGTGCAAGATTCGAAATTCTAAATCATCGCCTTCAGAGAATGATAAAAGGTGAGAAGGAAGGCATGCGGAAAAATTCAGTAAACAATATAAGCAGATTATCAAAATACGTTTCCTTTCATCTTTGTATAATCAGGTTCGTCAAACAATGATATTTGCTTTGTGCATGTATTTTTCTTAAATGAAAAATCAAGTTTTATTTCATGTATTAAAAAAATGGTAATTTAACATCTTCTATATATATATTTCGGTTAAAATTAAAATAATATCATATGAACAAATTTACATGAGAATCAAGATTAGAATATTCCTGAAACTCATTTTGTATTTTTTACTAATGATTTCGAATAATAGATCGTTAAATTTTTTGCGACAAGTTATAAACGTAGAAACATGCTAAAAATTTATAGTTTTGTGAAGATAATCTTCACATTGTTTCGTATTGTTTTGTTATCTTAATTCTATATTCTTTTTGCAAAAATATCTCATTTTTAAAACTATACAATAAGCCAGAAAAAATTATAATTTCATTTTTGCGTAATTTTGAAATAATTCTAATGTATCAATGGAATATATACCATACAATAATTCCATATAATGTGTTGTAATAACTTTTTAGCTATTGTAATGCAATGTATAGTGTCCCAAATTTACTTAACTAACGACCAATTCTTGTGAAGTCATTTCGAGAATATTCTAATATAACATACATATCTAATATTCTAATACAAAAATATCGAAGCTATAATAGTTTTTGAATTATAAGCATTTAAAGTTAGCGAATTATATTGCCTAAAGTTCGCGCGTTTAGTTGTGGTTGGCATGTTGTATTGTGGGACAAAATGCCAACCATACCAACACGCGAACTTTAAGCGATCTGATTCGCTAACTTTAAATGCTTATAATTTAAAAACTATTATAGCCTTGACATTTTGGTATTACAATTTTTATTTCAAAATAATTTTAGTAATCTACTATTAGCAGACAATGTGGTAGAGCTGAGACATCCTGTACTGTATATATATATATATA